AAACCAGCACGAAATTGGTTTATTTAGGGTTAATATACCCTAAACTAACAAAAGTAAAATCAATTTAAAGAAAATGTAACAAACGTTTAAATACACAAATAATGCAAACGTTAACATTAACAAAACATGAGTAAATGTTCACTTAAAGTGCAATAAAGTTCTGCTGCCTACAAAAAATGCATGCAACTATCTATCTACAAATGTATCTATGTATCCATGTATCTACAAATGCATGATGTGGTGTTAGCGTTTAAATGGTTTTGTATTTTTTCCTTTTCAATTTTATCTTCAGTGCAGTAAAGAATGTTAAACCGTTAAAGTAAAAGTTGTACGAGCATAGCTATTAGTGCAGAGTAGCTTATTGATTATGATTACGGCAATCTATCGCAGGCAAAAATTTGCAGAAATACCCGTAGAAAGATACAAATCAGAAAAACAAAACAATAGTTTGAGTGCAATTGAGTTTCCTGATATGCTAATTGAAAAATTTTTTCAGTGGAAACGAAATGAAAATGTTTTATGACAATTTTGTCATTTATTTTCATGTGCAAAATAATGCAGAACTAATGAAAGCGAAAATTTTCATATAATTTCTTTATAATTTTTGAATAGAAATAGTGTCCAGATTTACGTACGGTGAATCTCGTATAGGTATTCAATTTGTTTCGACACACGTCATTTTTTCAATTATTTAGGTATTAACAGAAAAGTGAAAGGTAAGATTTTGTTGATTTAATTAGTTTCAAAGTGCTGTAAAAAAGCTTTATATATTTGCATTAGTAATTTTTCTTTATTAAATTCGAATTATTTGAAGTTTTACAGTTTGAAATTGTAAACTAAACTTAGGGTACATAAAATCAATATTTATTATAAAATACATATATTTGTTTGTCAGATGTTGGCAGTTTGAAATTTAGATTTCCTGTATATTTTTTATGTTACTTTTATTATGTTATTGCAAAAATAGCCACAAAGTTAAATATGTATATTGAATAAAATTATAAATATTATAAAAATTTATAATGTAAAAGATTTGACAATTTTAGCAATTAAATAAAAAATATATAGAATAGTTCGAATAGAAATGAAAAGACAATAACAAAAATTTGGTTAGTTTATTGAAATTTAGCTGACCATACAACGTTGTTTCGAGTATTACCACGAGCTACTCGTTGTAACTTTAAGTAACACTGTGTATACACAAGTGCGTTCCACCAGCAAATTTTCTAGTAAATGAGAGTAACTGATAGAGCATAACATCACTGTCGAAGTTTCAAAATGCTACACAGAGTTTACTCGTACATTTTATTTCGAGTAAATTTTGTGTTGATGTGTGAATCAGCTGTTTTGGTGTGAATTCAAATTTTTGTATTATATATTTGCGCGGGACTGGTGTTCTCACCAGATTTTACACAAAGCTGTTCCATTAAAATCTGTATAAAGAGCGTAATTTGGCACTTTATTTGTATTATCAGTTTGTACTTTACTTGTGTTTTACTTGAGTTTTACTATAAGTAGCTCGTGGTACAGGCATAGTATAACCTAAATACAAACTATCGAGAATGTTGCTCTTCTTGGGTAAAACTGAGATGGAAATGGCAATACTAGCAGTGATGTTGATTGATCAAGTTCAATTATACATATTCCTTTATAAATTCTGGAGTGAAGTTAACCAAAATAAGTCATTCAGAGATATATTCAAAGAACGTACATGAAAGAGGAATATACAAAATTTTATTTGTCTGTTAAAAAACACAGAGTGCAATGAAAGAAGTATCTTTTATCCATTTTCTTGAACTAAGGAATATAAAAGGCAGATACACAAGAAACACCCTGTATATGAAAACAAAAAAAGTTCAAAATATAACATATAAAATTAAAAACTATTACCAGGTTTAGAAGCACTACGGTATATAAAATTAACTACCAATTAATTTTCGTTATTGTTGCAACACAAAGCAAAATTTGAATGTAATCTACTAACTTTGAAATTTAACCTATTAAAAAATAAACTTTTCGGACATGTTCCAGTAATATTCATATAAGTTAATAACTTTAACTAATTTTAAAACGACGATACTACGCTTTAAGTTTATGGAATTTGTTTTTTTTTTGTTTATAATTAAATAATTTTTTCTTTTGACAATACTTGTTTTTAATTTGTTGGTTTTTAGCACATGTGCTTAATTATTTATTTTTTGGTAATAAATTACCAAAAAAAAAAATGAGGATTCGAAAAAAGGTCGGTGGTGTAAAAAGATGTCTTCTGGTAAAAGTCAGCTGATGAAATTTTTTAAGACATAAAAAACTGAATATTCTGCATCATTAATCTTTTTTTTCAAATCAGTTAAATTGTTGTAATTAACAAAAAAGAAAAAAAACTTAAAATCTTGTTTTAATTTTTGTTCTACCTGCTTTTTGATATCTTATAATTTATTTCTTAGTAAAAATTAAGTAGAACTTTTTGTGTTTTGTATTTTATGTCAATTTTATATTTTTGGCACTAAAATATTACTGACATTTTAACAAATTTTCTTAAAAAAAATGTTTATTTTCATGCTAATTGGGAAAAGTTTATTACTCTCTCTTATTTCTAACAAAGTTGTCATGTGTCAAGGCATTTTAGTTAGCTGGATTTATTACACTGTTAAAAACAATATATTTCGGAAAACAATCAAAAGATTTTTAATATCACAATATCAGATTTTCCGTTAATAAATGCAGTATTTCTATTCAGACCTCCTTCACTCAGCTAGCGTGTTTAAAAACTTCTCTGGGGTATTCCAATGACTCCATTTCGTATAGCTTAAGTAAGTCTGTCTTCCATGTGATAGACTATCCATCGAATTATAGTTATATTCTTAACTGTAGGCTAACAACTACAGTTTGTGTATCAAAACACAATCAAAATAGAAAATTAAACAATGAGAAAAACAATTAAATAAGACAAGTTGTAAAAGTAGGGAAGTAGTCGGTCATGGCTACTGTGTTTTGGAATAACATAGCATAGCAAAGGCATGCTGATGATTGACATTTTTAAAAATAATCGCTCAATAACTAAATGTGTAATAAGTAATTTTACTGGATAAATTAAACCGAGAACTTTTCCCAATTGAAAAAGATGAGCTTCACTAAGACGATGCACCGATGCAACCTTTAAGAGTCGCTTTGGCTAAATTCATGAATCACATTTCGAATAGATTATAAAACTTATTTACTGAATCTGGACCCTGTTATTTATACTTAACGTTTGAGTCAAAAAAAAAAAACTTTTTGTTAAATGAAGGGGTGAGATTATTGACGTGATGCACAGGGATTAAAGAGGGATTGGATTCAAGGGAATGGTTTTTCTTGCAGTTGTTATTACATCCTATTGATACTAAAACAAAGTCGTAGCCAGAAATTTACTTTGAATGGGGTTTACAGATTAAAAACTGAAAAGATCTCAAAGAAATCTGCTGGATATTTAGAAGAGTTCGAGTAAAAATGAAAGAGATAACAAAAATTTTAGTTGATTTATTAAAATTTGTCTGACCATTCAACGCTGTTTCTAGTATTGCCAATTGTCAAATTGTTTAATAAGTTTGTAGTCTGTATAAAATTTGTTTAGATTGTAAGTGTCAGGCTTAGAACTCGTGCCTGTCAAATTAGAAGCGATGATTAATTATATTTTTCCAAAAGTGGCCAAGGCTGCCCAAACTTTCAATGCTCAAGTTCCAAGTTTTTTTGCCACTTTCTATAATATTTTTTTTCAGTGACACTAATCAAAGCATTTGCCATGCTTTAAATTACCTTATAAACTACAGCTTTATTTGGAAACACAAGTTCAACGAATTGAAAGTTAATTTTTGAGGTTGCTTAATTGATTTCTGTTTAATAGCAATTCGATCTCTTCATCTTGACCAACTGCATTATTCCTGTATCAAAACTATGGCAAGCACACTCAGTTTTTTATGGTGAATTATATATTATTGTGTTCATGACCGAAAATGATCTGTTAAATCTAGCTGTTGTGATAAGTACAATAGTTAAAATTGTAAGGAAATATTTTTTTGCCGGATGATATGTTTTCTCACTATACTTTAACAATTTCAAAACCAAAATAGATGCATCAATTTTACAAGTCATAGGTTTAACTTTTACTTCAGTTAAAATTTTATCGTTCATATATATCATACATTCGAGAGAAAAATTCTTCAGAAGATCTATCCTGCATCTTCGGTGGAAGCATCAGGTGACCAACGATTCGGAGACGGTCGATACTACCCACTGGCGACAGCAAGCAACTAATCGGGCTGACTGGCGGAGGCTACTAAGTAAGTAATGGCCAACAAAGTAAGTAAGTAAGTATATATACATACTCGGATGGGCTACAGACTTTCAAGATACGTGTTAGATCTATGGAACTGGATCATATATGAACATGTTTAGTTTCGACATCTTGTTAACGTAATCATACGATTAAATAGTACTAAAACTCTGGTACTAAACGATAAAATATGTAGAGTAATTTTGAGCACTTCTTCTTAGAAGAAGAGCTAAGAGATGCCAAATTATTGCTAGAATGATATCTATCGAGAATCAAATAACAGAATTCGATATCAGATGATGGTAGAGGCCCTAACAGAGAGACACAGAGAGAGAGAGAGAGAAGGATCTGAATTATATCACTATTTCAATTTTATAAATTACTTGCGTTTTTTATTATCAGTTTTAATAAGATAGATATTTATTTACTTAATTAATTAGATATATATCCAAAAGTCTTAATTTTCTTAACGGTCCGCATAATATAGATTTAAGCAACGAACTTCTAACTTTGAACTTGACGTAAGAGCATTTGCATTCACGCATACTTCGCTGATAACCACCATTTTAAACAAACAAAAAACCATAAAGAACTATTACCATAAAATTTAGCACCCGTTAAACAACAACGTTAATATATACTTTTTTTTAACATTTTAATTATATAATTAAACAAAAATATTAATTCTTACCTTGCAAAATAAAATTTTAGTTTTCACATAAATATTTGTTGAGTATTTGGGTTGAGCAAAAATGTATTATTACACAAAATTTTTCATGCAAGCATGCAATGAGAAAGAATTTTATCATTTAATTTGCAATCAGCGAAACAAATTTTTAAATAAAATATTTATTTAACTTATGTATTTTTGGTTTCACTTTAATTTTTACTAATTTAATTGCAGTGCGTAGATTTATTCAAATTACTTTTCCCGTATTTCCAAGAGTTTCAAGACAAAAAAGTGGCACAAATGTTAACACAATTAACAATGTGAATTATTGTAAAATTTTAAATTATATCACGTTTAAGTCTTAAAAAAATATGCATTATTCAGATTAAAATAGGTTGGAGATTGAATTTTTTTTAAAACAAATATAAAATTAGCATTCTAACACGTGCAGCGTATAATTTCATTTTATAGCACATAAAGCACACTCAGCGCTTTTTCCCCGCTGTCATATTTGCATATCATATGATCATATGATTTTATATCGTATATAAAAACAATATAAAAATAATTAAATAAAATTCTATTGTAATATTTTTTTATGTAAATGAATAACTTTTTAACCGCTTGACTGAATATAAGCCACAGCTGCCACAAATTGACAAATTTTGACTACATTTTCACTCATTCCCCGCAAAATAAAATAAAAAACGCGCCTTGCATTATTGCTTTGCCTGTTTTCTGCTATTCGTTTTGTTTTTATACACAATTTCCAATCTTCTTCACACTACGCGCACTCTAAAACGTTGTTGTGTCTCCACCGAAAGGTACAAACGCGAATGATTTGCGTAAAGTTTGAGTTGAGCTTTGAGCCACAATTACTGTTGATGCGGTTTGGTTTGATCGCTGTTCGTTGCAAGTTTGAGTGCTTCCGTTCTTTTGTTGTGTTGTTTTCGTTTATTTTTTTTTGTGTTTCTTTATGTTACATTATTTTGTTGATTTTGTGTTATCAAGCCAACAAGCAGCCAATAGAGTAAAAAAATGTATAGAAATTAACATGTATGTATTCATAGGTATGCAAAAGTTTATAAACACAACATGCGCAAACAATTTACCAAATTAGTCAGCTGCGCTTGAAGTTACTGGGTAATCTGTTTATTGCTGTTAATTTCTAAAAGATTTTGCGTAGGAATTTTATCTATTCGCGCATAATATAATAAAAAGTTAACGTTTTGTCTTATCAAATTAAAATTTTAATTAAATTACGTCTGCTGTTTGTGCAATTCTTATCAAAATATTTTATGTACGTTTGTAGAAAATTATAATTTCCTCATTGAGAAAAAAATTAATATTATTTAATAATTAAGACATATTGATGTATATAAAAATATATCTATGTATTAAATATTCAATTTTGATGAAAGTAAATCTACTTTTAAGCTTCCTTGCATGACGCTTATCACATTTACTGTTGTGACGCAAGGAAAGTTATAAAATATACAGTAAGAACTCGATATATAGGATAAGAAGTGATACATACGATGTATTTTTAAATATTGATTACAGCACATTAAAAGAAATTTTTTCTTAATTATTTGGAAAAATTTATAGTTCAAATATATAGTATTAAATAATGATATATATATAAGAAAATGCATTTATTTTATAAAACAGTTTTTTACTATATTTGTTCTTTTCAAGAAATTTTGGGTACACTAAATAGAATTTCTTAAACAAATCTGTTTAAATTGAAAATTCTCTGTCGATAGAATATTTGTATAAATATCTAACATTAATATTTTCATTCTTCATTATACGTCATGCGCATATAATGTAACTCTGTTTTAATTACATATATTAATATTAAAATGTTGGTAGTCAAATATATTACGCGTCCCCTTAAAAATTGGTTTAGTCTTTCTTGGTGTATATCGCAACCATCCCAGGGACTTTAAATTCTCAGTTGTAAACCTTCGAATTAAAGATATTGTCTTTACTGATAGGCTAACATACTTAGGAGTTCTTTTCACTCCTAAACTCCATTTCACTCCCCCGGTTAAGTACGTCTTCAAATATGCTGACGTTAGCAATAATTAAAATGGTTTTAATATGTCCAAACATTTCATATTCATTTCTCATTTACTACGTAATCTATTCCGATCAAATAGAATCGTTGCTGCATTAACTACAAGCGAAAAGCCAATTGAAAACTCAACTTCACTATCTACAGTTTCTAAGGGCGAGCGATTAGTTGACCTTTTATAAACCCTGGTGCAAAGATATTTTACCAGGTGTCATAATTTTACCTCTAAAATTCTTTAACCATCGTCTACATCTCTCTTGTAATCCCGCTGTATTATCGGAATTATAACAATTTTATGAACAGAGTTCACTTTTAGGTACCTAGTAAATACATTCTTCCTTACTCCCATCACTTTTTTCCAATTTTGGCTTAGATATGTTTATTGAGTAAATGCTATGCCTTCTGTTTTCTAGTATCTGCCTTTTTTTTGATTACTGGAATGGGGTTACAGATTTTGACGTTCACGTCTCCAATGGCTGAAATTTGAGGAAATTTTTAGTGGATTCAAGTCTTAAATTGTGGCTTTTGATGCTTTCCACGTACTAAAAAAAATTTATACATTAGATTAATTAAATTTTCACTGAAATATTGAGATACGTTGCAATTTCTTTTGTTTAACTAATCTTACTTGTTAATTAAATAGTTCTTACTTTCAATATTAAATACTTAATCAGTAATTTCAAAGTCCACCAAATGCAGATAATAGATCATTAACTTTTGTTGATCAAAACAATATTATTTATTTTTAATAATTTTAAAACCTTTAAAAAAACCAAACCGCAGTTTCAATAAAAACAATATTACAATTTTTTAAATAAAATATATATAATATATATAAATATATAAAATTGAAACAGTCGCAATTAATATAAGCAAAATTTCCTTATAATTCATTTGAATATATTGTAGTTCAGAAATTGTGCAATTTTAATAAAATTTAAGTTTTTTGTTAATATTTTTTTATTTATTTATACATATTTATTGTTTAAATATTTTATTACATTATTTAGCAGTTCAACGTATTTAATTAACATCCGCGCTTGCAGACAAAAAAATGTCTATGCATTGCGATTACAGCTTCTGCAGCTCAGGTTACAGATTTGCACGTTCATTTTGCTGGTCATTGCACAGTTAGTTCAGAAGTACTAATATGACGTCTACTGTAAAACAGTGTATAAATCAAAATGTAAAACGACTGTAGGAACAAATGTATTGCGCAAAAAGTAAAAATAATACAGGCAGCAATGCAAACAAACAGTGTATGCGATAGACCCCTACAAACGTCTAAACAAACGGGAAGTATACAGTATTTGTAACAAAATTGTCAAGTGCATCATATCAAGCACATATGTAAATAACAGTACCAGTAGCCGCATTGAACTATTCAGCAAAAATTAAAACAACAAAAAATATCAATAAACACCAGATTAATAACACCAATGACCGCTGGGGTGCATAAAACCTGTCACTTGACACTCTTTTTTATTTAAATTTGCTTGGCTTTTACTGTGTGTAAAATCAAATAACAAAGCAAAGCCACTGCAAAGCCACAACGATTTACTCATACTCATTTCGGCTGACTCTCTTCTTGGGCTATTCGTGTTGGCTAATCCACAGGCACAGTTGTTTGTTTGAGTATTTGTTGTTACAATCAAGAATTGTTTTTTGTTGACACTGTAAGGTCATGGAGTATAAATGTTTGTGTGGCGATTTGTGCTGTTTGTGGTTGATTTGGTGTTTTTAATTTTTTTTTTTGCTTTTCGTTTTAAACTTTTAATCGTATTTGATTTTATCGTTAATTTGTGTAGCGGCTCGTTTCCAACGTTATTTTTTTCTACCAAAAATTACCATTCATCATTTTACGGCAATTTGCAAAAGTGATGAAGACGGGCTTTCGTAGCTAATTCTTATATATTGAAAAAGTTAAATATTTACATATCTGAAGAGGCAAAATATTTTCCAGTTGCTGTTAATTGAATGTTTACATTTTTTTTAAAAATTTTTGAATTATAATAATATTTACTGCCTTCTAATGCTCTACATTAAAATTTCTGTAAAGGAGTTCATAGGCATTTCGAAACTATAGGAAAGGTTCAATGACTGTGTAATTGAATCTACTTTCTAATCATAAATAACACTGCAAATTTTACTCTGAAGTATGATTGTTAAATATATTATAAAGAAAATTTGAAGCATTATACAAAATATATATTTATTTGACGTAAAATTTGACGGCAATTCTCGATTTCAACAATAATTAAGAGTTAGAATATAGATTTTAGTATATAATTTTATATTTCGTGTTAATAGTATATTAAGCTACAATTTAGTTGCCATTAATACTGGATTCAGACGAAAGTTTGTTTGTAATTTTGGTTGCCAATTGTTGTTGCTTTTAATGCAAAATAAAAATTTTTGACAACTAAAATCACAAACAAAACACAAAACTCTCGTGTGAACCCAGTATAAGAACTGCCAAAACAAAACTATCTTTTAAAAAAATATATATAAACTAATATAAAGAAATAAATACATGTATATATTTATATGAAACGTTTAAATAATACAAAAATTATATATAAAAAGTGTATAAATTAATTGCTTTTATACTTTCTAGGTTGCCTATAAAATGTTTTTTTGTATTTTTTGAAGATCTTGAAAATGTGTATATTTGATTTACTACTTGTCACGACCAAACAAATCATTACTTAGTGTTAAGTAAATATAATTTACAAGAAAATAATATGCCAAGTATAGTATTTAGTATTTAAAAGAAATATAATAGTAAAAGTAATTATTTAGCAAATGTCAATAACGGAAAAATCATTTGAAACTTGCAGAAAGTTGACAAATGATCCACCGCAAGATTGCTGTCGCAGCCGCAGTTCAAAGGTATAACCAACATTTCCGTTCCGTTCAGCAACTTAATCAAACAGTCAATGAATCAATGGAAATATTTAATTATACATTTTTACGCTTAAAATGTTAGTAACCAAAACA